CAGACACACACACACACGCACACACACACACACACACAAAAAAAAAAAAAAAAAAAAAAAAAAAAAAAAAAAAAAAAAAAAAAAAAAACATTAAGCGCAATGAACGGTCGTAGCACAGACACGGGAAAAAGTTGAGGATGGAAAAGGGGTTGAAGGAGGGTACAGGAAATCAGATGCACTGGGGGGGTTTCACCCGTACACGAGCTACCATATCCGTGAACACTTTTTCGCACTGAGGCAGAATCCATCAGATGCCCCATGCTATCCACATTCCTGAATGATTGCTCATTTCAAGCATCTGGGCGTGACAAGTTTCTCTCTTCTGCGACTGTCGCGGGTGCTCTTTGTCCCACGATAGCAACTTTTACTTTTCATAATTCATTTCACCTTTCCTTCTCCCATTCACCCATTGGGTCTCTCGCTCCACCACTGTCCGCTGTCCGAAATTGGGTAGTAGGGCATCGCTCCACTACTATCCAATTTCGGTAGTTAGGTTGGTATTGTTTCCGGGTAACTTTATTCTGGTACAAGGAAGGTTAGGTGTTGATCTAGGTTTGGGAGGCCATAATAGGTGATACTACATAGTTGTAATCCTGATCAGTAGTGGAGTCAGTATCATTTTCATCATTCAAGACTGTGGTTTTTGGTTCGGTGTTTCCGGGCAGACTGTGAGGACCCCGGCCTCAATATTATCATTTGGAATATCAGCCTTGGGCACTGGGCCCGTTTTTTATTAAAAAGAAAGAAAGAAAGAAAAAAACATGTGAACTGCTGTCAGACTGCAGTCTCCAAAAGCACCGTCCGAGGTTGGATAGTTCCAAAAGCCTGCACCTTGAGCTATTTGGAATGCGCTCGGCTGAACCAACAATGAATGGAGTGCTGAAATTGGAGTGTAGCTAGAGTCGGGTCAGACAAATCTGGATACAATTGTCTTTCGTGATTGCAGTGCTTGAATAGTCATGCCGAGGACAGTAGTGGAGCGGTGGTGCTCGTTTTTTACAATTTTTCGAGAGTCTGACAGCTATCCTACGACTGTCCAAAATTGTGGATGGCAGACAGTGTTGGAGGGAGTGCCATTTTCAATCTGTGTGGTTGTCACTACTCACCGAACCCTTTCCCGAAAAATCAGAACTCCATTTTGCTGGCCTCTCGTTTGCTTACCACATCTGGGTCCCCAAGCAGCGCAGGTGTGTACCACTTCGATCCGCTTTTTACCGTTCGACCCAAGTAAACTAGGGCTTTGTAGGTTTTTCGGGTCGAGAGGGTCCTCGTTGAAACTGGTTATGAATGGATATGCATGACACACAGTGTCACAGTCCCAGGGCTACGACGAGTGAAGCTTCCAAGCGCATTAGAGCTCAAGTGGGCTCAAATCATACTAAGACATGAGCAAGTCTGTAAGGTTAAGGGTTCGAAACTTAGAGCATGATTCTTATACAATCTGTAGTCCCCCAAAACTTCAGGATTCCGACGGTGGTCCCACAGAATGGGCCTGGAAGATGCAAACGGCGGCTCAGAACGCTCTATTTCTTTCATTAATCTACTGAAGTACACAACGAAATGGGGGTATCCGGTTAAACGCAGATCAGCAACTGTGGAAATCTACATTGGCAAACTCCCGCCTAGGGGGAATTTAATATTGGATCTTTGGACTTCAAGTTTTCGAAATCGTGGTTTTACATACCACAATCTTCTAATATTGTAGCTATATGCTATATATGGTAAACCAGCCAGGCGCCTGGACCTGACAATATATATATATCGTCACAAATAGAACTGCCTGGTAAACCGTAGGCAGAGAGAGAGAAGAGGACAACAAACGAGGGGCTGTGACAAACTGTTTCGTCTGAGTTTCATATATATATATATATATCGTCACAAATAGAACTGCCCGGTAAACCGTAGGCAGAGAGGGAGAAGAGGACAACAAACGAGGGGCTGTGACATATATATTCACAAACAGAACTGCCCGGTAAACCGTAGGCAGTATATACTGTGACACTGTGTGTGTCATGCATATCCATTCGCAACCAGTTTCAATGAGGACCCTCTCGACCCGAAAAACCTACAAAGCCATAGTTTACTTGGGTCGAACGGTAAAAAGCGGATAGCAGTGGTACACACCTACACTGCTTGGGGACCCAGATGTGGTAAGCAAACGAGAGGCCAGCAAAATGGAGTTCTGATTTTTCGGGAAAGGGTTCGGTGAGTAGTGACAACCACACAGATTGAAAAGAGTAGAGGACAAATGATGATGGGACTCCCTCCAACACTGTCTGCCATCCACAATTTTGGACAGTCGTAGGATAGCTGTCAGACTATATATATCGTCAAATAGCAGCTCTGGATGTCCTCCAAAACCAGAAGCTATAATAGATGGAGTAATTTAGTTACGTAAAGTTGCGTAAACAAATAGCTCAAGAAAATACTTAGCAAAAAGTGCCAAAAACATTTTTCTTTTGAACATAAACACGGCTATTTTAGTACTAATCATAAATTGAAATATCCTACTGTTTCTTATAACAATAATTCCCTCAATTTATTATCTCAACAATTATCAAACAATGATCTCTATTGAACATCCTAGATATTAATTTGGAGAATAGTACAACAAAGTTGAAAAAAATGCATTGCCCTAAGCCTCAACCCAGAACATTGGGCCCAGCTACTTCTTTCATGAATCTATTGAAGTACATGACAAAGTGGGGATATCCAAGAAATTCTGAAAATTCGTGAGTGATTACTACCACTAAGTACAACTTCATATATATATATAATTATTATATATATATTATATATATATCGTCACAAATATATTATATGTATATATATATATCGTCACAAATAGAACTGCCCGGTAAACCGTAGGCAGAGAGAGAGAAGAGGACAACAAACGAGGGGCTGTGACAAACTGTTTCGTCGGAGTTTCTATATTGTCACATATCGTATATATGTATATATATATATCGTCACAAATAGAACTGCCCGGTAAACCGTAGGCAGAGAGAGAGAAGAGGACAACAAACGAGGGGCTGTGACAAACTGTTTCGTCGGAGTTTCTATATTGTCACATAACTACAAACTAAAAGAGCGCACTTTGCGAAACAAAGAATAAAAACAAAAAACGGGCACATTGCAAAAAGAAAAAGAAAAAGAAAAAGAAAAAGCAATATATATATCGTCACAAACAGAACTGCCCGGTAAACCGTAGGCAGAGAGAGAGAAGAGGACAACAAACGAGGGGCTGTGACAAACTGTTTCGTCGGAGTTTCACCGACTCATCAGGAGGCTGAATATATATATCCGTCGTGGACAGTATGCACGTTTTCAACATCCCATGCCTGAATGACCATGTCGACAAAGGAAGCACAGCAGAAAACGTTGACACAAGAGCACATCCTGAAATAGCAAAAAAAAATAAAAAAATAATAATAAATCACAAGAACTTGCACGATATTAGTGTGTTAGGTTGTCAACCCAATTGGATCAGGCAAAATCGGATAAGCGAGAAACAAAAGCTTCCCATGATAAGCAGAAATGGCACACATATGACAAGTTGCTGGCTGTACATGTCAACAAAAACAGAGCCTGCCATGGACCCTACGAAGTAGTATAAACTGCTACAACAGTCAAAAACACTGACTACCTGCAACGGTCAAGAACTGTCCTCTCTCTGGGCTTGCAAATGGCCACTCACTGCGACATGTACGATATTTGCAAGTTCACCCAATTGGATCAGGCAAAATTAGACGAGCAAAATGAAACGATAAGCAGAAATGACACACATATGACGAGTCGCTGGCTGTACATGTCAACAAAAACAGAGCCTATCATGGACCTGATGAGCTGCTACAACGGTAAAAAACACCGACTACCTTCAACGGTAAAAAACACGAGATATCCACCAGTGTACACCGACTACCTTCAGCAGTCAAAAACACGATATCCAGCAAAGTACACCGACTACCTTCAACAGTCAAAAACGAAAATAGCCGTTGAAGGAAGTCGGCCCTCATGGGGAAGCGGCTGCTTGACTTTGATGATCGCTTGTTGTTTGTAGCAGGCTTGTTGTTGTTGGTCGCGGTGCACCGTCCATTCATGGTTACTGGGCGTTCTTGGTATGCAGTGTATGCACTGCATACCAAGAACGCCCAGTAACCATGAATGGACGGTGCACCGCGACCAACAACAACAAGCCTGCTACCAACAACAAGCTATCATCAAAGTCAAGCAGCCGCTTCCCCGCTCCTCGCTTGTGGAACCCACTGGCATACAAAAAGAGACAACAGTGCCTCTAGAAGAAAGAGAAAACCACCGAGCCTACCTCTATAAGACAGAGAAAACTGCCAAGCCCATCTCTCTCTCTCTCTCTCTCTCTCTCTCTCTCTCTCTCTCTCTCTCTCTCTCTCTCTCTCTCTCTCTCTCGCACTGACCTCTTCAATGAGGGGCTGCTTTGGTCTTCAATGAGGCCAGGATTGCAGAAAGCCCTTCTTGAGGATCTGATCCAGACGCAGGTCCCCTGTTCCCTGTGGGTTTTGCTGGTGTCTCATCACCCTCCGCTGTCTCATCTTGGCAGTCGATCATCACAGCTGGCTGTAGCCTGCGACAGCTCCTGCAAACAAACATTTGAACAAGCACACTCATATTACGACATATTTAAAAAAAAAAAAAAAAAAAAAAACGACATACACATGCAACACGGGGAGAGATCAATCCACCACATCTTACACTTGGATTCAGAAGGCCATCAGTCTTTACCTTCAAGCTGACAGGACAAAGGTTTTCTGCTGTACATCCTCTGGAAAAACTCCGAAAAAGAGAAAACAACGTTCCATTCTTACGAAAGTACACCATGTCGCGCTCTGAGCTCAATTGAACTTAACATCATTACAGAAAGGATGCATCGGCCAACGATAGGACGCAGTGCGAAAAGATGCTCTTTCTCTGCCTTGTTCCCCCTGTTATCTTCTTTACATGTTCAAAGCTTCCAGCTATAAAGGCTGTTGACCAGGAAAGGCTTCTCACTCCAGAATCATGTCCTCAATCAATCAAAGCAGCACCTTCCTCCTATGTGTGCAGATCATTTCAGCACGTAAAGACCTCCCCTCTCCAAAAGACCCTGGCCTTCTTATTGTTTCGTTTTCCATTCAGCGTATCAACACTTTTAAACATATAATAAGACCATGCCAACAGGGCTGTGCCAGTAACCGGCCGGTTGAACCCCAGGTGGTCCAACCGGAATTCCGGTTGGGCACAAAAGTGGGTCATTTTCTTTTATTTTATTTTTTTGAAAACNTCTCTCTCTCTCTCTCTCTCTCTCTCTCTCTCTCTCTCTCTCTCTCTCTCTCTCTCTCTCTCTCTCTCTCTCTCTCTCTCTCTCTCTCTTGTAGAAGAAGAAGAAAGTGATAGGAACTTGCCAGTCGTGCGTGGAGGCGTAGTGGAGTGCAGGCTGCTGCTCGCAATGGCGAGCAAGCAGGTCCACAGGCTGGAGTGCTATGTGGTGGGGCAAGGCCGCAGGGCGAATCTGGCCTGGGCCGGCAGTTTCCAGCCCTCAACGTTTCAAAGCGAGGGCGATCTCGACCGCCGCTCTCTCGAGATCGCGGTCCAGATTGCCCGCCCTTTTGAAACGTTGTTGGCGGGCTTACTGGACCCGGTTCTCTCTTTTCTTTTTTTTTTCCTTCAGCCTCCTGCAGACTAACTTCACCCCCTCGCAGCATTAGACTGACGGTAAACCCCCCCAGCAAAAATGCGCTGGGGTCAACCAGGGATGAGCCGGGCTGGTTGACAGGCCGGTTCAACCGACCGGTTCCGGTTGGACGGGGGGTTGGGGGCTGGTCCGACTGGAAGTTCAGCCCTGCATGCCACTCAGTAACAGTGCCACCGCATATGAAAACATCTCACCATTTTTCGTTCTGCTGCATCCAAGATATCTTGCTTCGTTTCCGCTCATTTGAGTAATACTTGTCAGCTTCCTTAGCATCTACATAGTTTCTGTAACAAGTACTTGTCAGCTTCCTTAACATCTACGTAAGTTTCTGTAACAAGTACTTGTCAGCTTCCTTAGCATCTACAAAGTTTCTGTAACAAGTACTTGTCAGCTTCCTTAGCATCTACATAGTTTCTGTAACAACTAAAAGCCACTTTCCAGTGGGGAGCAGACATGCCATCCATCAGTCCTCAATTACCTGTGATGAGGAGGCATGTTTTCTTTCTCCTTTGTTTTGCTGAGGGCCCGCTTGACTTGGTCTGCACCTGACCTTCGCTCCCAGTGCTGAATCTTATGCTTCACAACCCCAGCAACATCCGCTTCCTGACAGATCAAGCAATTGGCCGCATCCAGCATATCTTCATGTTCCCTGCATGCGCCTGTAGCGGCAAGCCGACTTCCTCTCTGTTGTCCGCATTCAGATAGAAATAAAGGAAGAAAAAAGAATTAGGAATCCAGCAGTCCTCTGCTGAGGATGGCGGAAACAGAGATCCGATGCAAATGGAGGAGCGTGTCGGCAGCAACGAGAGGCAAACCGCAAAGACTCGCACCCAGGAGACGAATCTTCATGAGAGACTGGCTGCTACAGGGAAAGATTGCGACAATCACAGAAAACAACTGGCTTTGGAAAAAGTGAACCACTCCAACTACGACAAGGAATGCAGTCCCGAGAAGGGCAAATTGAGGTTTTAGCCTCAGACCGACAGACATCTCTCCCAGTTTCTCGTGCGTCAAGCCTATTCAAGAGAACCAACAGGGTTCTGAGAGGAAGACTAGGATAGGGCAAGCTGACACTACCTGACAGTCAATCCTCCCATACAGGAGTAATCAATGCCGGTCAGGGTTCCTTCGGCCAGACGGAAGGAAGCGTGAGCGTGTACCACAATGCATTCAGTTGGACTTGCAGGGGGAGTACGAACCGGACTGACGCTCCCCAGACTGGAAATGGAGAAGGAACCAAGCAGTCTGCACATACGACAGAAAGATTGGCACAACCCGGCAGCGAGCTGGAGACGGCAGAGATCTCAGCCAGCAGATGGACAAGATCCATCACAGGCCACGTACTCTTGAATGGCAAACTCCCAGACTGCATCTTCCTTAGCCTCCTAACCGTTCTTGTTCTCTACGACCGATCTGGCAGGTTCATACAGTGGACCTCAGAGGGAAGGTGGACAGAAGGGAAGCTGACAGTCAATCCTCCACGATGCTGGAGTAGTCAAAGCTGGTCAGGGTTCCTTCGGCCAGACAGAAGGAAGCATGAGAGTGTTCATGATGTAATGTTTTTCCTGACTTGCTGGTGGAATAGGAAAAGGACTGACGCTCCCCAGAATGGAAATTTAGCCAGGGCCATATAGACCTGTTTCGTTAAAAAAAAAAAAAAAAAAAAAAAGAAGCAAGCAGTCTACAAACATGCAAACATAAGAGGAATGATCTGTGCATAAAAGATTCAAGCCAGTGTACATCCCATGAAAGAAATACACTCATTACTGTCATGAGTCATACCATCAGGAGGAAATCTTGCAATGACTTAAAACTTCAAGTTAAAAATCAATGCCTCAGCAAAAGACAAAAAACACACAAATATCCAAACGGTACAGAAATACGCAACATTTGCCCAAATAAACGAAAAAGGAGATATTGATGCTCTAGTTCTGAGATCAAATGAACAATATGCACAATTCACGGAACTTGTACCTTTCCAGTAATCGGAGTGCTGCCACTTTTCCTTCTGAGAGCTGCCTTTGTTGGTGATTGAATCTTAATGGTGCTCCTCGGGAGCACTTTCTTCCTCCCTGCAGACCCCGGCGTGTCTAGCGAACCCTTCTCACGATGCGGGCTTTCTCCTTGAGTGCTAGTGCCTCCAATAAGGAAGCTAGCGACTGCCCTCCCTCGTCTGATCTCCTTTCTAGCACACGCTGTTCACATTCAAGAAGTCCATGACAAAATCCATCCATTAGGCAATGACGGTGGGGAGTGGGGGTGAATGGGGGGAAGGGGAGGGGACACATAGGGTATAACCATAGCCAACGACAGTGAATGATGGAAACGAAAAGACCTTAACAATGAAAGACTGCCAAAATTGATGTTTTTTCAAACTTTTTTCTCAATTTTCATGCAAGTTCGATCACAGGCTACATGAAAACCATGGACAGAAGCGTCGGACCTGTAAGTCCGGAGACTGTGTTCTTTTCTTCTTCGTCTACCGCTTTCTTGGGATTTAGCGATAAATATGACAGGTTCAGAGAGCTGGACCTGAGAGGAAAGGTAGAGGTAAGACAAGCTGACAGTCGATCCTCCATATTGCTGGCGCAATCAATGCTGTTCACAGGTCCTTTAGCTTGGCTAGACGGAACGAAGCATAAGTTTGTTTATGTTGGCGCAATCAATGCTGTTCAGGGGTCCTTTGGCTTGGCTAGACGGAACGAAGCATAAGTTTGTTTATGTTGTAAGCGTTGACTTGCCGGTGGAATAGGAACCAGACTGACGCTCCCCAGAATGGATACGGAGCCAGGGCCATAAGGACCTGTTTAAAGGGGGGGGAGGGGGGGGGGGGGGGGGGAGAAAAAAAGCTCGATGATGCAGTAGGACTCCAAAAATGGATGTTTTTCCCAGTTCAGCCGACTTACGGAAAAGAATACGCTATTCAAGTAACCGTCCGTTAGGATGTCTGACCTTAGACCGACAGAAAACAAAGCAAATACCATTATAGAAAGAAGACAAACAAACAGCAACTGCCAGTGACACAAATCTGTGCCACAGATAAGATCATCACCGAGACCCGACCTAACCAGAGTCATTTTCCGAACCCGCCTCTCTCCGTTCCAGCACTCCCAGACAGTTTTACCAACGAACTGAACAGGAAAGCCAGGGCTTACCTCCAGCAGAATGACCCAAAGAAGGAGAGTGACGTTCCTAAAACTAGCTCGGCACTACCTAAGTAGGAAAGAGAATGGAGGGGGTCTCGGCATTATAGATCCAAAAGAGGACACGAGAGCGATTCTCCGCTATCCTGCTAAAACAAAGTGTAGCATGGAACCATCTAGCCAGGGATAAGAAACACCGATTAGAACCCCTCAGATGGCTTCAGTGCTGTCTTCAGCACCATACCCCAAATATATGACAACACAGATAGACAAAGGATAAAACATCTTGACCCAGAGGAATTTGTCCTTGTACAGGCACATTAAGAAAGTTCAGGGTTAAAAAAAAAAAAAAAAAAAAAAAAAAAAAAAAAAGTTCAAGGTTCAGAAGAGTTTTCTACCCGGACAACCGGTAAGTTATAGCCAGGCTTATGACACCGATGCATAGCAATATAAACTCTTCCAGATGAAAGATTGAATACGCACATCCGACAGAAGGCAGGCAAGGGAACGGGCACTGGGTCACGAGGATATACACAACAGGGAAGTCCCATGGAGGTGATATAGACCAATAAGACCGGTAAAGATCTGAACCTTTACAGTGGCTGATTGACCGTATCGCTCGCCCAGTAAATTAGAGGATTCCAACAAGGAGGAAGGACTGAGATTCAAATAAACCTCTCCAGATTGAAAGGATTCCATGCATCTCAGCGTCCAAGTCCTGATCCCAGTCCCGAATTCCGGTGCCCAACAGGTAGGACTGTACCATAGGCCAGAAGGGGACATAGGCCCAGTTCGTACAATAAGCCCGTAGGCCTTGTAGATCTGTACGGTCTACTGGTAGGTTCGATAGAATAGGATTGTCATTCCATCAGTCTGTTGCAGCCTAATTCCAGGAAAGTCGGTGAAAAATCTGGAGCGGGTACCGGTCGTGAACAAAGGATTGAATGAGGTAGAAGTAGAGCATAGTCAATGGCACCATAGCTAGTTGGAGGGAGGGAGAGAGAGAGAGAGAGAGAGAGAGAGAGATGTCTCTTATACACATCTAGATGTGTATAAGAGACAGTCCTACGACTGTCCAAAATTGTGGATGGCAGACAGTGTTGGAGGGAGTGCCATTTTCAATCTGTGTGGTTGTCACTACTCACCGAACCCTTTCCCNGAGAGAGAGAGAGAGAGAGAGAGAGAGAGAGAGAGAGAGAGAGAGAGAGAGAGAGAGAGAGAGAGAGAGAGAGAGAGATGTGTGTTTAGCGAAGGGATGTTAGTAGTTTCTTTCGACTGCCTGACAAACGGATAGTGAGGCGGGAAGGAGAGAGAGATATAGATAGATAGATAGATAGATAGAGAGAGAGAGAGAGAGAGAGAGAGATAGAGAGAGAGAGAGAGAGAGAGAGAGAGAGAGAGGCCTGAGTCTAGGCTAGAGAGATGAAGAAAGAGAGACATATCTGTTTGAGTGGCCGACGGCCGACTTGTCATACAAGGTTTGAATCTTTTAGCAGTTTCCAAAGATTATTATTTTGTGGTCGTGTGTGTTGCATGTGTGAAGCTCCGTGTGATGGAGCAAGAATTCATGATGTTCCCAAATGAGTGTGGAATCGCGGGCTCATTGCAAGTCAATCCAAGATAACCAACCAGGGGATATCATTCTCTGCCTTCTCGACTGCAAGGAAGCCTCCTGGTATTTGTCTACGGTCGAAAAACTATGGCGCTATCTATTACACGTACCGCTTCCCTATCATCCTCTAAATTTTCTCATGTGGATCAACACCCTCCCAACTTTCACAACCTCAAAGGATACGGTTAAGATTGATCAGAAAGCAGACACTATGTGCTGCTTGGTAGTAGAGAGGCATTATATAACCATGAAAGGCACGCACAGTGCAAGGGAGGAGTTCTGGGCATCAACATAGCTCCTTGCTCAGACAGAAATCGGATGCAGGTGGAAACAGGCACAGGAGGCTATCCAAAACCACCTGGCCGAGGAACTCAGACTCAAACCATCGATTCTCCCTGAGCCTATCCTGTCAAACGAAAGATTTTCACTGGCCCTGGCCTTTCGGGTCGGGCCTACTGGGTCACAGCGACTCTGGCCACCATATGCATTGGGCTTGCGCTGCACTCTTTTTCATGCGCAAAAAGAGTTTGGCGAAAACCGGGTGCACATTCGAAACCAAACCTACATCGCTGATTTTATTTTAATTTTTTCGTCAATAGAAATGAGAATTAGAAATCAACACAGCCAGGCCACTCAAGACTGTGTCCGCGGTACCCATCCTAGGTCTAGGAGTTCAAGACTTTCCACAGCCTTCACGTATACCAGCACTACTACTGTAGGCAGCCGAATGACGGTTGGTTGGTTGGTTTAAAGGGTGCTTCAAGCATGTTTGGCTACTGGATAGCAAGTAGAAACTCTCAAAGGCACCCAACTTCAGTGGCATAAATCGTGCAACTCAAGTGGATGGCAACTTCAAGGAGGAAGACAGCGACACGAGGACAAACCCTATCCGCACACAGACACTGACCCCCAGCAGCGGAAGGAGCGCAGCACTTGCATGCGATGCTGCTCCTGTTTGGGTTGAAGAGGACAAGTGCCTTACGTTGAACTGTGCAGTTTGTCCCACAAATTATTCGATTACGTTCAGGGCGATTCACAGTCAATGGGTAAAAGTGGGAAGCGAACAATGACTCGGTAGCTTGATGCATTTCTTCACCTGTCAGTGATGGCCACACTAACGTTTCTCAGAATGGCACTCGTCTCAGGTGAAATCCAGAATATCAGAATGACAATGTCTGCATAGCATCCAGCCTCTCACCTTTAGACAGGAGGCCACACTGCAGTGGAGAACCACCAGTTACAACCTCGGAAGAAAAAAACAAAACGAAATAGGAATGGTTGTGTGTGTGTGTGTGTGTGTGTGNAAAAAAAAAAAACTTTGCACAAGGCCAGATTGCACACAACAAGCCCGCACAGCATGCTGCGCATGACCATACACACAGGTGACACTTGTGGAGTGCTGTGCACAACGTGCAGCCTGGTACGGTGCAGCTGAAGGGACCTGCACCGATTGTGTGGGTGCAAGTATGGTTGGAAGATAATAACTGAAAATGCAATGCATGGCATGATGGTTTTGATGGCTTTACAATACTCAGAAGCGACCAAACAGAAAAAGGACAGAATATGGTAAAGAGAAATAGGAGAAGCTAGAAGATAAAGACGAGGAAGAAGAGGAAAAAAATGAGGAACGTGGCGATCCTTTCCAGGCAATCCAATCATAGAGATGGGGAGGCCAAGTTCGAACATAAGGAGGGATAATCACTTGCTGAAGCCTTGAACGCATGTGAACCCCCACCAGCTCTACATTCTATTCCAGAATCCCCAAATTATTAAATTGATAAATTATTAAATGAATAAAATAATTAAATAATTAAAATAATTACTAAAAAAAAACAAGCATACTGCTCATTTCACAGCCAACAACCCCCAAAGCGTCCAGACAATCCAATCATAGAGATAGGGAGGCCGAGTTCGAACATAAGGAGCGTTAATCACTTGCTGAAGACTTGAACGCATGTGAAACCCCACCAGCTCTACATCCTATTCCAGAATTCACAAATTACTAAATTAATAAATTAATATAATTCCAAAAACAAAAACAAAAACAAGCATACTCCTCATTTCACAGCCAACGACCCCAAAAGAGTGTCCACAGCCATGCGTCACCAGAAGGACTACAACATAAAGCACTCTGGACAAGCTCAAACCACAAGCTCTGGAAACTACAGCCCAAAGCGATTTCACCTGCACACATTTCCAGAGCCCTGACAGATGAAATACAACAACAGAGAAACGCAGCCCCCCAGTATGTGGAGTGTGTGTTGCATGGGTGTTCTATGTGTGCATTATGTGTGTACCTTGCATGTGCATGCCGTATGTGTGTACGTTGCATGTGCATGCCGTATGTGTGTGCATGGTGAGTTGTTTATATGCTGTCTCTTATACACATCTAGATGTGTATAAGAGACAGGGGGTGCTGTGACCGGCATTGCGGTGGGGAGCGATTGAAATCCCCCACGGGTGGCCGTCACGGCAGTGACATAGAGAAACCAACGAGGATTCCCTTGGTAGTAGTGAGCGAACCGGGAATAGCCCACACTGAAAATCCGTGAATGGTTGATAGTTTCAACTTCTCTTATGTTGGAGTGTTGTTACAGTTTCCCGATAAACAGAAAACACGGAGCAAACCTGATCTTTTCGGTGTCTTCAAGCTTGCTGTGACGTGCTCTGGATGTATCAACTCCACTGGATTCTCTAGAGTGCCTTCACTATCATTTTCCATAGCCCTGACATCCGCACTGGGCTGATCACTACCAGGCTGCCTCTCTGCTAGTTCCTCGCTGAAGCTGAGTCCATTTGGAACAATTTCTCTCACCGCAGATACACAAGGAGATGATGGCGGTTCCATAGTGTGCTTTGGACTCCGTTCCTTTTGGACACCACTCTCGACTGCTTCTACAGCCACCTCCGAAGCAGCAGGGCTAGATGATGGCGGTTCCGTAGTGCACTCTGGCCTCTGTTCCTTTTGAACACCACTCTCAACTGCTTCTACAGCCATCTCCGAAGCAGGAGGGCTGGCATTCTTCACTTGATGTATCAACTCGACTGCATTCTCTGGAGTGCTTTCACAGTGCTTTTCGATAGGCCTGACATCCGCACTGGGTTGATCACTACCAGGCTGCCTCTCTGCTAATCCCTCGCTGAAGCTGAGTCCATTCGTGACAATTTCTCTCAACGGAGATCCACAAGGAGATGATGGGGGTTCCATAGTGTGCTCTGGGCTCTGTTCCTTTTGGACACCACTCTCAACTGCTTCTACAGCAACCTCCAAAGCAGGAAGGATGGCATTATTCAATTGATGTATGAACTCGACTGCATTCTCTGGAGTGCCTCCACTGTCCTTTTCCATAGGACTGACATCAGCACTGGGCTGATCACTTCCAGGCTTCCTCTCTGCTAATTCCTCACTGAAGCTGAGTCCATTTGTGACACATTCTCTCATCGCAGATGCACAAGGAGATGATGGCAGTTCCGTAGTGTGCTCTGGACTCCGTTCCTTTTGGACACCACTCTCAACTGCTTCTACAGCCACCTCTGAAACAGGAGGGCTGGCACTCTTCACTTGATGTATCAACTCGACTGCATTCTCTGGAGTGCCTTCACTGTCCTTTTCCGTAGGCCTGACATCCGCACTGGGCTGATCACTTCCAGGCTTCCTCTCTGCCAATTCCTCACTGAAGTTGAGTCCATTTGTGAAAATTTCTCTCACCGCAGATGCACAAGGAGATGATGGCGGTTCCATAGTGTGCTCTGGACTCTGTTCCTTTTGGACACCACTCTCAACCGCTTCTACAGCCACCTCTGAAGCAGGAGGGCTAGATGATGGAGGTTTCGTAGTGTGCTCTGGACTCTGTTCCTTTGGGACACCACTCTCAACCGCTTCTACAGCCACCTCCGAAGCAGGAGGGCTGGCATTCTTCACATGATGTATCCACTCGATTGCATTTTCTGGAGTGCCTTCACTGTCCATTTCCGTAGGCCTGACATCCGCACCGTGCTGATCACTTCCAGCCTTCCTCTCTGCTGATTCCTCGCTGAGGCTGAGTCCATTTGGGACAATTTCTCTCACCTCAGCTGCACAAGGGGATGATGGCAGTTCCGTAGTGTGCTCTGGACTCTGTTCTTTCTGGAGACCACTCTCGACTCCTTCTACAGAGGCCACCGAAGCCAAAGGACTGGCATTCTTCACTTCATGCATCAGCAGCGCCAGATTCTGTGGAGTGCCTTCACTGTCATTTTCCATCGGCCCCACATCCACAACCTTGCAGTCAGGACTTTGAGCATCCACCATAACTCCTCCATCCATCTCCTTTGTTCGAGCTGCATAGAGCTCCATGATGGCCTCGAGTAACCCCTCAGTATGCCCCCGAGAAGCAGATGACATAACTGGTTCAGGACCTCCAATACACCCAGGCAAGGCCACAACAGGTGCAGACAGACAACTTTCACCTTTCAGATATCCAATCTGGCAGTGGATACTCTCACCACATTTCAACTGGCGATGGACATCCACAGCCTGTGCATCGTGACTAGACTCTGTTCCTTCGATGGCTGCACCTCGCCTCTCATCATCAAAACGTGCCTTTTCCGCAGACCACTCTGGACTGGGTTCTGTGGAAGGCTCCTGTGGACACTCCAACGGCATTTCAGAAAAAAAGTCCGATCGCTGAACCACTTCACTCACTTGCCTTAATCCTTCGACTTGCACGTCGCAGTCTTTCACCGACTCAAGCATGGAAATGACAGCAGTGTCCAATGTTTCACTGAAATCATCAATGGCACTCACAGATTCGCCTGCCGTGCTGCACCCCCCACGCTTATGCAACACGGCAGTTTCTGCCTCAAGTTCGCTCACTCGGGATCTAGCTCGATCCCGTTCCTCCTCCATCACCACGAGACGTGACTCGAGCTCCGTCACGCGTGATCTAGCTCGATCCCGTTCCTCCTCCATCACCACGAGACGAGACTCGAGCTCCGTCACGTGTGATCTAGTCTGATTGTGTTCCTCTTGCTCGAGAGTAAGAAGCCTCTCCTGCTTTGCAACCTTTTCTTCGAGAAGTCGGACCTCCTGAGTGCAGGATGATGCATCTATTTCTTCGTGGATTTCGCTTTCTCCACCAACCCGCAAACCTTGTTCTTGAGCCAGTGCAACCTCAGTTATGCTATTGGCATCAACAGCCTCAATCAATAGGCTCCTACGGCGCTTCCCCTGAGGGAGGTCCTCCTCGTCAGTGCTCTGCTTTTCTCCACCCTCTACATTCGCACATTTGACATTGCCATTTGCTGTATGACAACCCTTCTTGACTACCTTTCGAGCTTCCACCTTTTTCTCGAGGGCTTTCCTCGCTCTGGCACCTCTCTCCTGGTGATAAAAAAACATGCAGAAGAATGGACAAGACCATTTTGTCCAAAAAGATAGTCAAGAAAAACATGAAGCAACAAGATAAACGATACACATTCGCAGAGCACCGGCAAAACAAGAAAGCAGAAGGAAGTGGAAGGAAAGGCAGTTGAAAAAAAGGCAACATTTCCATACAATGAACAAGGACGTACCAACGGGCCTAGCTCAGTTGGTACACCCATAAACTGTTGAAATGTCAACCTATCTCAAGGCTGTCGCCCTTCCATTTTCGAAATAGAAAAAGGAGACAGCCCCAGACCCTCACAGCACAGCACAGCACAGCATAGCACAGTGCGTACACACTCAGACAGACAGACACACACACACACACACACACACACACACACACACACACACACACACACACACACACACACACACACACACACACANACACACACACACACACACACACACACACACACACACACACACACACACACACACACACACACACACACACACACACACAGGCTGCTTAACAAAACAATTGCAAGCACATCATTAACCGTGTAACCCACCACAATGATAACACGACGGCCCAAGATTCAATGCACAAGACAAGACAGATAACGAACCATGGATGATTTTCAAAATTCGACCTGCTTCCTTCACTGAACGTCCAGCACTCGTACACCAACTTCTCAAATTGACTCGTTGACATTCACCATTCATTTACTCCAGCCCTGACAGAGAAAAACCACCTTCCCCATTTGCTTACAGTGCCTTACACCCACCCTCACAAAGCCAACGAAATGGGGAAAAAGTTTGGGGGAAAAAATAAAAACACGAAACAAAGAAAAGTGGCACTCACCGCTTGCGCTGCAGCCTTCTCAGTCAGTTTCGGAATCCTGAGACTCGACGTTTCTTTGGTTGGGAACCCCAAGCATGGCATTGGTAACTGCTCCTTCGGCAGAGGCAATTTAAAGATATTCACCAGAGGCTCTGGAATGCAACTCCTGCCGTCAAGGGAAGATTGGCGAGCCCAAGGATCAGCAATACAAATAAAATAACAGCATGAACATCCAAGTAAGTGTTACGATCGTAGTTAACGCCTAAAAGAACGAAGAAACCCCATCCAGATCAATGCCAGCATTCCACTTGTGGCAAGCATACACACGAGAGAACAGATTATTCACAAGCAATGCCAGGATGGTGGCCATGCACAGCCAAAGAAAATAATGATTTCGGCAGCTGCGGCATAGCAAAAGAGAGGAGCTGCACCCAGCCCATGTAGCTGAATAATACGCACAGGTATCTGTTCATATTACTTCATAAAGAGATCACCGAGATTGAATCCTAATCGACTCAGATCAATACAATAAGGTTAGGATCTACCACCTTCAACAAATGGACAAAAAAGAAATACAAGCTCCTAAAGAACAAAAAAGCTTCTTCTAAATAATAGCTTGATTGCTTCAGTGTGCTCACCTTACACCACAGGCCATTGAAGCGTACTTCATGACTTGGATTGTTTCATCGAAGTCCCGCGGCTCAGGACTAATATTAACAACCTGCAAGGAGAAATATACAAGAGGACCCAGAATAACAAATAAGTGTCTGCTACTGCCTTGAGAACAAGCTGCATCAGGAAGGGGTGCTCTGCTCATCTGAAGCAAATGTTGCAAAGTCTCCACGACTGACAGGATATTTAGGAAAGCAAACCAACAGCAATGTGCGATCATCATACACGCTTTCCAAGCCAGGCTACAGTATAAGGCCTGAAGAAAGGCAAATACATATATATACTGGTGGCACTGTAACAGTGATAAGAGGAGAACCCTGCACGATGCCCAGATTGCCAAACCTTATCAGATATTTTCCCGAGCGAGAGAGTCAAGCCAAGCATAACATACACTGTTTCAGTATGCCCAGTGATTCTCATATAGGATCTACTCAAGAATCCTGGGTGCTAATTCACCAGTACCGGCCGAACATGGTTGGTCAAACAAATAATAATTCCAACTTCCAGCAATTCAAATGGTGCTTCTTGTACTCTAGATTCAGAGATACCCAATTGGTTTACCCCATAAACTAACTTAGATGGGAAGAATTCGGCCTTTCGCTTCCTTCCCCCCAAGAGAAACCGTATTCTAGCACCCATAACTGCAGGCTGAACCAGTCCCTTTCCTCAATTCTCATCTGGGTCTTCTGAAGAGCTTAACCATTGATGATTTGTAAGGGTTTCTAGGTAAAGAGCGCCGGAGATGCTAAACACTACGTAGGACATCCGTAAGGATATTTGCCAAAAGCATGTAGAGCTGGATTTCGGACCTCCACAAAGCCCAAGCACCAACCCAGCACAGCAAAAGCTGATCATCAGACCGATGATCGAACAAGTGAAAAGCTGAAAACCGACAGGCTATCCTCTGGACCACACGTCCTGGACACGTACATTTGACAATTATTTGTCTTGACCACACACGCTGGACACCATAAATTTAAAAAATATTTGTCTTGAGGTTGTATATGTTGAGCCTCGCTGCCCCTGTCAATTCTTCCTGCTTCATTTCAGTCATTTCCTGCTTTGCTCTCGCTGCCCTGTCAATTCTTCCTCTGATCATTGGAATAGAATTCATGCTGATCGACCGTTCTATGTGTACCATTTTATATAGCTTGCAACCACAAGCACAGCCATTTGCAGTCTCAGCGACAAGGAAACGAGAGCGCAGAGATGCCCTATTCCATCACTACTACTATCACGTGGTACAAAGATTTCTGCTTGCACTCACCACGACAAGGCGGCCTTGACCTTGAAGCTCATTCTTCAGAAACTGTGTCAACTGCCCAAGTGCCACATCCAAGTTGTCATAGAGGAAACATACATTAGACATCCAAGTGCAGATCATGGCACCACCGTTGATATATGGCTTACTTACATTCATTGATATGATATCTGCTCTGTAGCAATGTAATACAGGTAAACAATAAAGTGATGGGTGGAAGTGAACAGTAGAAAAACTATGTGATAACAGGAAGTGAACAGTAGGAAAACTATGTGATAACAGGAAGTGGACAGTAGAAAAACTATGCGATGCCAGGAAGTGAACAGTAGAGAAACCATGTGATAACAGAGCACGCCTGTCCCATGCATGTTCAGCTGTTAGGCTCTCCAAAAGGGAATCAGGGAGGCAAATTCAAATGGCACAGTGGTAACGAAGGACTTATCTGCAAAAGTTAGTACCGATCCTGGACTTGAAGTTTGCAATTCAGGCAACGAGTCCCACGACTCATTTTCAGCTCCACAAAACAGACAGAAGAGAAGTCATTAGAGAGGGTGGAGGGAGGTAGTGTGGAACAGATGCAGAGAGGGAGTTGGGAGGAGAGAGAGGAGGGAGAGAGAGGGGTGTGCGGAGGGGAGAGATACAGGGAGAGAACGGAACGGAGAAAGTGAGAGAGGGAGAAAGGGAGAAAGGGACAAGGGGAGGAAGGGAGGAAGGAAAACCGAATGAAAAGAGGGGGACTAGGAACAGAAAACAGCACATTGTTTGGTGCAGGATTTTCCACTGCCTTCTTTTGCCACTTTTGTTGTACCGTGGGGCTGACCTTTCAACTGTTTTCTTCTAACAAACTGCAATCGGGTCCCCCTCGCGAAACGTGCTACACGCATTGCCATCTGACATGAAGACCTGGTCGGAAAATTTCCACAGGCACGTGCGTGTGCTGTTTTCCCTCACTTTCCAGTCCCGAGAGTTTTATAAAACAGCAGACGCCCAAACCCGCTTATCAACGCAGTAAGCCCCCACTGATTGTCAGTAATGAAAGAAGTTCAAAGAACGCTCGACCCCACATCTCTGACGAATGTGTAACTACACGTTGCTACAAGAATGGCAGCCATTCACCATTTGCCCGTGCTCAGCAAATCAGACTGGAATTTGCAGCAAGCCAGACAAGATGGGAAGTAGTAGTTCACGTCCCTCTCCAACAAACCACTCCACCAGCAACATAGGGAGGCCTTTCATATTGTTGATGAAAGGGTGCCCTGTTGCAAAGTGCTGCATTGCCTCTACATCAGTTCCCCAATCCCGCCCATTTGCTGTAAATTTCAAACAAATATTCAGTAAGTCCTGTCAAAGGCAGTATGATGGGCATTGCCGACCCTTTGGATACCATCTAAGAGGTGAGGAATTCCAGAGGCAATTACAGGACACTTTGTCTTAGCATTACCTTACTTCGCCTAAAGTTGACACGCTGATTCTTCGAAAGCTCCTGCAAAGAAATTACAGAGGAAACAGAGGCATAAAAGAATGTCACGCCCAAAGGGAGGCAGAAATAAAAACGAGTCGAACGACTGGTCATCCAATACTCCAAGCATGAGTTTTTATGTATGCAGTACTATGCACTACAAGCATACTTACAAGCACATCACACGATCGCACACACTCGGTGCTACCAAAGACGTTTGGGAGTGCAGGCCTGGATAGTACGTCCCCCAGGCACTTGAGCACAGCCAGGAAGGACTTCAAAATTTTTGAAAGTGATGCGTACAAGTAGGCAGTGGGGTAACATTTATGATTTTTCTAGTGAGTTTCTCCTGGTGCCTATGGTACCGCTGCCACTTTGGACCGCAGTCAGTTTCCCTTGCAGCCTTCCATCGCACCATCTTCAGCCCTCCTTCTCAGTGTTGATCCCTCCATTGCCAAAGCCAGGTGGGTTCCTTCACCAGCCCCTTACTCGCTCCCACCCTCCATCCAACGCGTCACATCTTCCTCCTCCTCTTCTACCCTTCCTTCACCAGCCCCTTACTCCCTCCCACCCTCCATCCAATGCGTCGCCTCTTCCTCCTCTTCTTCTCCCTTTCCTTTCCTTTAAAGCTTTGAGTAACGGCTTCACCTTCACCTCTCCTTGTCCCCACGTCTCATCCTCCTCCACCTCTCGTCATCTTCTCCTCCTCGTCCTCCCTTCACTCCTTTTTTCAGTTCAATTTTCCTTAGTAAAGGTGCATGCAGCGTTGGCACTGACACTGAAGGTCCTCCTCCTCCCCTCTCCTAGTAGTATCCTCCAGTGCTCCATCTCCTTCCCTCATCATCACCACCTTGCTTTGTCACCTCCTCCTTTTCCCATCACCTCCTCCTCATCCTCTTCCACATCTTGTCCTCCCATCATCTCCTCCTCCCCCTCTCATTGTCTCCTCCTCGTGGCCATTTTTCCTCCTCGTCATCCTCTCCTCCTCCTCTCCTCCCAGAAACCTCCTGGCCACCTCCTCTCCTCCTCGTCTTCTCCTCCAATCCTTTTCACATTCTCTGACAAACTGTTTCTTTTCTTTTCCCACATGAAGGAGCTCACATGGTTGGCACTGACACTGAAGCTCCTTCACCTCATCTCCTCCCTGTCTCCTCTGCCCGTCCCCTCCACTCCTCGTCACCTCTGCCCTTCGTCCTCATTGTCTCCTAGCCCTCCCCTGTCCTCCTTGTCACCACCCCCTTGCCTGCTTGTCTCCTCTCGACATCTCCTCAGCTCCTGCTCCTCTACCTCTCGTTGTGTCCTCCCCCGTGTCTCCTCCTCCTCTCCTCCTCGTCTAGTCCTCCTGGTCTACTCAGCTCCTCCTCCTCGCCACCTCCTTGCCACCTCCTCCTCTCCTACTCATCTCCTCCAAAAAAATATTGTTCTTTATTTTCTTAGGTAAAGGCATGCACATGTTTGGCACTGACACTGAAGCATGTCTTCCTCCCCTCATCTCCTCATCTCCTACAAAGATCTTGTTTTGTTTTTTTCCGTGGGTAAAGGTGCACACATGTTTTGGCGCTGACGCTGAAGCTCCTCCTCTCCCTTTTTTCGGGCTCCTCATCTCCTCCTTTTTTTCCTTAGGCAAAGGTGGCAAATCACTCTCTTTTCCCCTGAAGTAAGTTCGGCGAATCACTCTCTTTTCCCCTGAAGTAAGTTCGGCGAATCACTCTTTTTTCCCCATGTGGTGGGTTGACAGGTAGGAGGTGGGGAGGAGGAAGAAGAGGAGGAGCAGGAGGAGGAAGGGGGAAGCGGGAAGAGGGTTCATCGCGCCAACTCATTCCGATCCATTGATCGGTTGATTGATTGATTGATTGACTGATTGATTGATTGATTCATTGAGTGATTGAGTGATTGAGTGATTGAGTGATTGATTGAGGCAGTGGCAGCAAATTGGAAGAAGGGTGGGAAGGAGTCAGGGGCTGATGAAAGAACCCACCTGGCTTGAGCGATGGAGGGCTATGGAGGGCAGACAACGGCACGATGGAGGGTTGCAGGATGCATAACAGGCATCACCCACCCTCCTTGGCTCCTGGACGCTTAAAAAAAAAAAAAAAAAAAAAAAACTTTGCACAAGGCCAGATTGCACACAACAAGCCCGCACAGCATGCTGCGCATGACCATACACACAGGTGACACTTGTGGAGTGCTGTGCACAACGTGCAGCCTGGTACGGTGCAGCTGAAGGGACCTGCACCGATTGTGTGGGTGCAAGTATGGTTGGAAGATAATAACTGAAAATGCAATGCATGGCATGATGGTTTTGATGGCTTTACAATACTCAGAAGCGACCAAACAGAAAAAGGACAGAATATGGTAAAGAGAAATAGGAGAAGCTAGAAGATAAAGACGAGGAAGAAGAGGAAAAAAATGAGGAACGTGGCGATCCTTTCCAGGCAATCCAATCATAGAGATGGGGAGGCCAAGTTCGAACATAAGGAGGGATAATCACTTGCTGAAGCCTTGAACGCATGTGAACCCCCACCAGCTCTACATTCTATTCCAGAATCCCCAAATTATTAAATTGATAAATTATTAAATGAATAAAATAATTAAATAATTAAAATAATTACTAAAAAAAAACAAGCATACTGCTCATTTCACAGCCAACAACCCCCAAAGCGTCCAGACAATCCAATCATAGAGATAGGGAGGCCGAGTTCGAACATAAGGAGCGTTAATCACTTGCTGAAGACTTGAACGCATGTGAAACCCCACCAGCTCTACATCCTATTCCAGAATTCACAAATTACTAAATTAATAAATTAATATAATTCCAAAAACAAAAACAAAAACAAGCATACTCCTCATTTCACAGCCAACGACCCCAAAAGAGTGTCCACAGCCATGCGTCACCAGAAGGACTACAACATAAAGCACTCTGGACAAGCTCAAACCACAAGCTCTGGAAACTACAGCCCAAAGCGATTTCACCTGCACACATTTCCAGAGCCCTGACAGATGAAATACAACAACAGAGAAACGCAGCCCCCCAGTATGTGGAGTGTGTGTTGCATGGGTGTTCTATGTGTGCATTATGTGTGTACCTTGCATGTGCATGCCGTATGTGTGTACGTTGCATGTGCATGCCGTATGTGTGTGCATGGTGAGTTGTTTATATGTGTGCTGTCTGTGTTGCCTGTGTTTTTCTGTGTTGCTGTGTTGCTGTGCTGCTGTGTTCCTGTGCTGTCTGTGCTGTCTGTGCTGTCTGTGCTGTCTGTGCTGTCTGTGCTGTCTGTGCTGTCTGTGCTGTCTATGCTGTCTGTGCTGTCTGTGCTGTCTGTGCTGTCTGTGCTGTCTGTGCTGTCTGTATGAGAGCAAGAGGGGGGGCTTGTGTGTGTTCTCTGTAAGTGCATGATGGAGGACTCCTGATGTGGGTTGTGTGTGCCAGTGCAAGAGGGAGCACTGTTGTGTGTGCTGTGTGCTGCGTGCTGTGTGTTGTGGCTGTGCGGTGTGTAGTGTGTGGGTTGGGTTTGAGTGCAAGAGGAAGGACGCATATCGAAATGTAACATGTTAAACGTGCCAGGATGCTGTATGATGCAGAGCCATGCACGGACACTCTTAAAAGCACACCTGAGCACACTCTAAGAGCCCAGAAGAGCATGTAATACCATGAGAGAATGCGGTATACTCCTTTGCACAGGGAAGTGGGTTTGGCTCCAAATCTGCACAAGAAATGCATGAATGAGATGTCAACTATTTCACAAAATGATCAGCTTGTCATCCAAACTGTCTCAACATATGACTACTGACAAATGGGATGTCGGTCCGATAGGAGCTCTCATAGTACTATTGTGAACAATGTATGCTCTTAGGGGTGCTAACGATTTGCAGTTCCTAATACCCACCTCCAGACATTGCCTGAGTGACATGAGTGATGAATTGATGGCACCACTCTCTTTCAGCCGCTCTCCCTGTCAAACACAAAACAGAAACAACACCAGAGGTGTGTGTTCAAGATACACAGACCCTCCTCCCCGAGTTCACAAATATGACAAATATGACAAACACGCCACACACGAACAACAAAACCCAAAAACAGAGAAGTCAAAACCAGTGGAAATATGGATTGGACTCCCACCACAAAACCGCAAAAGCTTCCATTCAACCCTAAACGATCTAACTGTCCAACAAATTTGATCAACTGTGTAGTATTTTTCTATTCACAATTTTTCAGCAAGTGACAGACCTGTATAGCACAAGGACCAGCAGGATGGAATGCTGGATGAGGAATGCCGGTCTCCCTCCTCTTGAAGTCTTCTTCCCCATGTATCTATCTATGGCTGCCAGTCAACAGGTAAGTTTCCTAGTCCTTGCCAAACCTTGTGCAACGGTTGCCTCTTCCTTCCAATCTCCGCCCTTGAACCCTCCTCTTTACAGTGCCAGACAAGCTCCATAGCCCACAAAGCCATCTCTGAGTCTTGGATGAAGAATTTGGGGCACATGCAGCCAATGGTCTTCTCTGCAGCAGCTATGGCTGAACACTCCGAGTTGACACTCTCCTCATGTAAGCATACTCTTCCCCCAAAGCGTTGGATTCTACCTTAGATCTCCCCTCTTCTCTCTCTTGCAGCCATGGTGCATCAGCACCTTTTGCAGGCTATGGCTACCACTCTCTCTCACTCTCGCTATGGCAGTCTCTCACTCTAGCTATCTGCCTCCTCTCGCACTCACTGTAGCAGCGCACTGTGGCGTGTCCCTGTAGCCGCACACTGTACCATGTGCACTGCAGATGCACACTGTAGCACATGAACTGTCACAGCGTGAAGCCAAATGAATCCACGAGATGGAGCAGACCAGTCTTTTATAGTGTTTGCTCGGCCTGGCCTGCCTCCAGTTTGCCTCCACGAAGGGCTGAGATTTCCCGATTTGTGTGGCCCAGACTTGCTCACGGCCAGTGTGTGCATGGACCCAGTGGGCCTTGAAAACTTCTGGAAAGTGCACTGAGTCTTTTGGACTCATGCGAGATCTGTCACGGTGGTTGACTCCTGGGAAACCTTGGACTCTTTGATTTCTGTGCCCAGGTAGGGCTTGACTGTTGACTTTCCTAGAGCCTACTTTTGACTCTGGAGGCATGAGGTGCCTCCTTTTCACCCAGTACCTATCTACCAAGGGACATTCTGATGCCTCTTCAGAGTCAGGGAAGTGACTTTTGGACCCTCAAACTTTTACCTGATCAAAGGCTACAACACCTGGCCACGTCTGTGCGGATTTCATACCGGTTCTCAAGACTTATCAGAGTCTATCACCAACTGCTGACCCCTGAACTTTGCTAGGTCAAAAGCTACGACCCTCAGACTTGCATCTCTGGTTCTACCCCATACCTTGACTCGGTAGGGGTCTGCATACCAAAGGTCTTTGACTGAGACACGGACTAGGCCATATTCTGTAGGATTGAGGGTCATTCTGACGGAGTCGGGGACCCTACAGTCCAATTTCTCATGCCTATAGCCTCGACTCTAACTTTGATGCACGTTTCTGTGCTGGATTTGAACCCGGGCAATTGCACGCTGTTCCATAATGACAAAAAAGGTGAGCAATTTACAGCAAGTTTACAACGCATTCGTAGTCTAACGAAACGAGAGACACGGGACTATTCAACAACCGCATCGACGCTTACGTCCTTCACCCAGTCTTTCTCAAGCTATAAGAACTCTGATGACAGAAAAAATGTCTTTGAATGAAGAACTCGTTAGGAAAAATAAAGAGACACCTTGACATAAATCAGCACAGGCGCCTCTCCAGCTTCTTTCCCCCAATCAGCACACATTGTACTTCCGTTTCTTTACCCTAAACCCAAAAGCTGCATCAACCCTTCATCTTCACCTCTCCGTCAGTTGACAAAAAGAAGAACCCCCCATATCCATTAAACCACCAGTTCACCCAGACCTGTTTTGACAAACCAAAAAATGCATTTTGCCGAGCCTGAAAGTGAGCGGGTGCCGGAATTCTTGAAAACTGAAGTGCAGGACCTGCTGTGATCAGATGGAACCAAAAGCAGGCAGGCCGTACGTAGTTTTTTTTTTTCCAATTATGGTTCTCATTCTTTAGTTTTACTTTGTTTTCACTCATGTGGCACCCCAGTCAGGCTGAACGGGAAAAAGAAATAGAAAAATTGCACGGCCTGAGATTGGAATAGATATGTGCGCAATTGCAGTCCGCTGCATCCTGGAAAGTGCTGGTGTGAGTGTACTCTCAGTTAGTACACTCATAAGGCGACCGCGGATCAAGATGAAAGGAGCGCACACTCACAACCAGTGTCCAGAATGCATCTGACTGCAATTACCACCAGATTGGACGGATGTGACTGCAAACACGTCCACAGCTTCGTAAAAGAAGTTCTAGAGCGAGTGTAACAGTCAGTTCCGCGATGATACATCAAGGCCTCCTCCGTCTTTGCCATGCAGTGCACGTGTCTGGAGTTTGTGGCCACATTCAAGGCCCCGTTGTTCCTGAAAAACAAAGGGGAAAAAAAAGAGAAAAAAACCCTGACCATTCCCTGTCCTTTCCTCCCGCCTCTCACGGCAGGAGGGCGCCTGACATCACTGAGGGGACGTTTTGTCCCCGTCAGTGGCAGGGCTTCCTTTTTTCCCCAGGAGGAGGTTACATATGATTGTGACCACAATCACGTGCATGACCTTAGTAGAAGAACTACTTCTCGTTCTGTGTTTTCTTACGCATTTTGTTACAGCTCTCTGCCATGCGGCACATGGCAGGTCTTACTAGTTCTTTTTTTATTTTTCAGCTCTTTTTCTTTCTTCTTTTTTCTCTTTTGTTTTGCAAGCCCGTGCTTTGTTTTTCTTGGTCTGACCGCAACTGATGTTTTCACATCTGCCACCCACATCTGCCACCCACCCTCCCATTGCACCTGCTGGGCTCGCAGCTCAATTTTTTGAGGCCCTCCAGTACTTCGCCCCGAAGCTCTACCGGCCCTGGGCTGAACTGCCCAGGCCCAGTACTCGGCGACGGAATTGGATGAACAGTACATCCACGTGAACTGGTGGTGTAATTGAGGTGAGCGTTTGCATCAACTACCAGGTTATGCAAAAGGTATCAGATGGTACAAAAGCAACTTTTTCTCCTACAGCGGATCACATACTGCCATCCAGGGTGTCCGGCGTTCGGGACAGGCCAAACGCCCGAACCCGAACGCCCGAACGTACGGGACCCCTTGGGGATGCGTTCGGCCGTTCGGGCGGAACATGGACCCAAAAAAATAAATAAATCCAAAAAATCGAACAAATCTGAAAAAAAAAAAAAAACATATGCTATGCAGAAAAATAAACTAAACAACATTTGCCTGAGCATTACATCCAAATTCCTTACCAAATTTGAAATAAAAATAAAAGAACGAAACTAAATAGTAAATACTAATAAGAAAAATAAGAAAAAATAAAATTAGAAATTAGAGAATTAAAATTAGTGTGTGCGCAAGCCCGTTTTCAACACAGCCATCTTTGGCGATTTTTCTTTTTTTTTTTTTAGCACAGCCAAATGCCCTGCAACTTTACGTATGTGTACTTCACATAATACAAAACTAATGCAAAAAGTTTCAAAAAATAATAAAATATTTGAAGCACCAAAATAAAATCACAACGAAAAGTGAAAAGTGAAAAAAAAAAAAAAAAAAAGCGTAGCCGAGCACGTTTTTACACCACCATCTTTGACGTTTTTTTTTGGATTGGCAAAATGCCTGGAAAATTTATATGCGTGTAGCGCATGTCCTACAGAACTTACAAAAAAAAATCAACAAACAAAAAGCATTTTTAGGCCCCGAAATATTTTTTGGCGGGGGACGAACCACTTCAGGTTCGGCCCCCGAACGGGACCCTGAACACCCGAACGTTCGGGGGTCAGCCCGGGGGCAAAAGCAAAAACTATTCCATTTAATTAACCAATTCCTGCTTGTACTGCATCCATGGGAAGGAACATACAAGCTGGGAGAGCTACCTGCCTGGAAGAAACGCCATGGTTTTCGTATGATACGATATTAATGGGGAAGGGAGGGGGACTGTTGAGCAGTGTAAGGTCATCCTTTCCATGCAGGGAGGAGACAAGTGCCATCACCCATTGTTTTCCTTGCATGGGTGAGAGACATCCAATTGTGCTTTCTGTGTGACATGCTTAATAGGGGCAAGAGGGTGAGGAAAGGGAGTCCCAGTATTGCCTGACGTTTTCCCAGCATTGACATATGGCGGGGGACATCAGGGAGCATCACATCTTGGTTTCTGCATACGGAGAGAGAGAGAGAGAGAGGACTACAAAGGTGCTGCAAGATGCCTTGCGATAGGGAGAGGCGCACCAGTGTGCAGAGTAGTACGCCAATTTATATGCATGGCACTGCAGACGAGGGGTGTCACAAGGGCCTCAGCAGTACATGGGCGAGGGAGGGTGTCGAGGGCATCACACGGCCATTTCTTCACCTGGGCCAAGAGAGAAGGAATATCGAGTGGCACGGGGAGTGTTGCGGGGCACAAATTGTGAAGGGTGGCCTCCATGCAGAAAATTTCACAATGCACACAACAAAACCCATATAGCCTCTCGCTCACAAAGGCGGCGATGAGCTCATCAAAGGACAGTTCCATGGCTGCAATTTTATGCCTGTTCTTAAAGCTTTCTGATCAAGCCAAGATTGCAACCATCACGACATACGACAAACATGCCACCTGGGATTGTGGCCCCATAAGATTACCTAGTTCTGTAGCCGAAGAAAAGCACAGGGACAACAGCAGCTGAGAATGTGACACAGTATATGGACCTCACCTCATTCTTTGTACGCCTTTGACGCTCACTTCCGGCAAGGTCAACAAAGCAAATGCGTGCAAAACTTTCCTGCAAGTCGTCCAACGCCAAAGTTGCCCCACGCACACTCGCTTGAGATGCTAACGGCATCACCCCCTTCAGTCCCCTGCCCTTCCCATCAACCGCTGGCTGCTGATGTTCACTGGGTGACTTCTCTGCACAGAGCTGGATACTGACAACACAGTGGCCTCGACTGCATTGCACGGGTCCAGAAAATACACCCACACGTAAAGGAAAACAACATTTATGAATATCAGCATTGCACCGAAACTCAGTTACTGTGAAAGAGAGACGAGGGAAGAGAACATCAATGACATTCCATACTTTTCCACTTGAGAAGCGAGGCAGAAAATACAACCAGACACCAAGGACGACAACATTTATTAACACCAACACCACCCTGAAGGTCAACTACTGTGAAGTTGTAAGCACGCAACAGAGATTGGAAGAGAACATGTCTGCAATTTTGTAGAACTGGTAAATGATGCTACTAACAGTGCTCTGTCTTATTCAAGCACGCCAGCTTTGGATGGTACTTCTATGCCTACCTTGATGACTTGTTGGCTCCTGTCTCTTCGACTTTCCTGTTGGCATAGCCCTTCTTTAGTGTTTCCATGGCCTCTTTGACACTGTCCACCCTCTCCTGCATATCCGGTACAAATCATTGGCAGTATAAAGAAAAGAAAGGTGCTTATCAGCAACATAATTCCAAACCAGCAGCCGTGAACCGCTTCATGTTCCCACGCCGTGACTGTGTCACACATCCTTAGCAGATCTGATGACTTTCCTAAACGACTGCCAAGCCAAAAAAACTCAAAACAAAGCAATGCAACTGAGTGCAGAAAATCAAACCAAAATAAAGAAATATAACGCTGTAAACACATCACTTTCGACAGTAAGTCATCGTCCTCGTGCTTTCAATCCACTGCTTGCTTCAAGATGAGATTCGCAGTGCTTTCCACCTTCATAAACACCAGTTTCTTCACACAAAGGACTTTCAGAACTCCGCACTGCAGTCACTCCATACAGCAAAACACTTTGAAGTTTGAACAACGAACAGATTAAAAAGTTGCCAGAACAGAAAAGCGCAAAACAAACACAGTTGTCAATATTAGACAGATTACAAACCGGCGAAGTACAATGCTAAAAAAAACAGGAGCCTTTTCTCCTCGTTTTCATAGGAAAGGAGAAAAGCATCATTGCGGCACACAAGTGCAGTGTGCAGTGCGGTGTAGTACGCATTGCGCCATGAGCAGATCTAAGATGCACGCACACACTGTGCTCAAAACATGCATAGGTGAATTGCACTGTGCAAGGTGCTATATCACTGGTTCGCACACCTTTTGTTTTTTCTTTCATGTGTGTGTGCATGTGCGTTGTGCTGCTGGCTATACAGTGGAGGGCACAACGCACCCTCGTGGGAGTTCACGAACTTCAACGAGGGCGTGGTGTGTCCCCAAAAGTATCCAAGCCAACATCCATGTCTGCTGCAGTCATGCTCAGGCTGGAGCTCTTCTTTCAATTTCCCAACTCCAACACTCCCTCATCATGACTGCATCAGACCCGATACAGAGACAATTCGTGCACATTGAAAAAGAAAAACAGCAAAAAAAAAAATAATAATAAATAGCACACTATAACAGCAGGAAAAAAAAAAAAAAAAAAAAAAAAANNNAAAAAAAAAAAAAAAAAAAAAACAGCAGAGAAAAAGGATAACAAAGCTACCTATCCGACAAAACTATGCACGTCGGAGAAAACGAAAAAATGTAGCCCGTATACAGAGAGAACGAAGGGGAGTAGCCGTTAACTCTCTCCTTTTCTGTCAAATCTTTTACTCACAGCAGGACTTTTCTGGGTGTATCTAACGGCAATTATGGCAGGCATTGGATGTATCTGGCCAACATCACGTCCATAGCTGAGTCAAAAAGGCCCTAGTGTCAGTGGGTCCTTAAAGTGAACGAGGGAGTTTCATGATGAGGGCCGTGCCCTTCCTTGGGGGACAGCTGTTTGCTCACTATGCTATTTTTTCTTCTCCCAATATTTTCCACCACACTAGCTACCTACATACCCCGCACTATGTACCCACATATTTAGCATGGTCAGCATAGTTCCACATCTAGCATGGTCAGCATAGTTCCACACCTATGCACCCAATATACATCTCGCTAACTACCAACCTACCCCCTCAGGGTTGAGCCTAACCCCTAGGATGAGATTGAAGGGACGAAGGAAAAGCCCCTACCAAGACCAACCAGGGGGGGCAAGCCGACTATCTCAGCGGGTGAACCCGAAGCGCACAGCAGGGGCCGTGGGGACTCGAACAGATGATGTGGGGAATCGAACCCACTTGCGTGTTCTACCAGCTGATCTAGGCCGCTGGCTCTGGGTCGTCTCCTTCCTATTATTAGCAAAAATAAGTAAAAAGACTCTGACAGGAGTATCCGTTCACTATATAGGACCTGGCTCCATTACTCAACACACGATACGTATTTGGAGAGTCTTTCAGCTCAATACATTCTTACTGAACAAATGCTATGATGTATCGGGAGCATTAACGAGCATTAACAAGCATTAACAGCTGCAGATACATGCAGAATTTTTGTGCAGCGGAGCCAAGCCCTAGAATCCATCTTCAACCAAGGACACACACACACACACACACACACACACACACACACACACACACACACACACACACACACACACACACACACACACAACATATCTTCTGGGGGCCATGCGGCCCAACGGGTTCGATTTTTAAGAGGGAGCGGGCGGGGAGTGCCATCTTATTCCGCTCCTCCCAAATTCTATTTTCCACCCCTATTTTATGGGGTACAGCGCTCCAAGTGCACGCACATGCATGTGCATGCGCTTTGCGGCATATGTGCACGCCAGCGCACATGTGATCTGCCGCAAGTATGGAGAAAAGTGTCAAGGTCAACACAGAGGCAGAGGCCGCAGCTAAAGAGAATCAAAGAAGAAGAAAGAAGTCAATCTCGACTCAGAAAACTGTCCATGGCAGTCATTTTGAGTATCAACTGTCAATTTTCCGTCTGAAATTCTAAATGAAAGCAAGAAGGGCCAGTGCGGCTCCGCCCACATCACGAAAAGGGAGATTCAAAAGGGAGAAACAGTCGATGGAGAAAGGCATAATGGAAGCTGTGTGCAGCAGTCGAGGTTGAAGAGAATTAGGATTTGTGAAGTGGGTATTATAGAGATCCATGCAAAAAAAAGAGAAACATGAGAGACGGAGAGAGGGGTGGTGGTCAAAGGAATTGGGATATGGAATGGGCACTGACCTAGTTGTTGAGATGCATTCCCGTGAGTGACAATGATAGAAAGGAACAGCACCAGAAAATTGAAGTAGAACAACATCGGAATAGTAGTGGCAGTTGGAGTAAGAGATGCAAATTTGCAAAAGGAATTACATGAGGAAAAAAGAAGGAAATCAGACCAATATGAGTGCAAAACTGACTGGACAGGAAGCAGTGTTTGCAATCAAGTTACTCGTACATGATTGCGAACAACAGTGAGACAACTATAAGGGCCGTGCATGAGAAAACAATACAGTAACCCATTGACATGCTGAACGTCAGAATCGGTTGCAACGTCGCTAGACAGACAACTGCTGTAGAAATGGTTGATAGTGGTTGAAACAGTCTCCCTACATTGCTTCCATGACAATGTTTGTTGTTGTGCGTTGGTTTTGCGAAGATGATGTCCTGGTCACTTGTCACCTTGTAGCCTCTTTTTCCTGACCCAGATTGCGACAGAAAGCCATATGTGGTGCTATGTGTGGTCCTATGAGTCATGGCATGTGCGGTGCTATGCACTCTATGTGTGCTGCTATGTTTGATGCTATCTCTGCTGCTATGCTGCTAGCCCTGTGGCTAGCTGTGCTGCTATGTGTGCCACTATGTGTGCTGCTATGTGTGCTG